ACGATACTTGGATCTCGCAAAGCCTCGACGTGCATACAGCCGATGACCGCGGAGCATCTCAGGTAGTGCCGCTGTCGGCACTGGGCTCATTCCTTGTGGCGAGGTCTCACACAGTTGACCTGGTTGATGCAAAGACGAAGGCGCTGCTTCACACTTTTGAGACAGATTCAATTCAAGCGGGGTCCCTGAGATGCTTTCACTCGTCACGAAGAAAACCTCAATGCGGTTCGATTGGGCTTGTGTCATTCGGCATCGCGTACACCAATGCAGAGAAAGGCGACTGCGTGATTCACACCTTTATACCAAAGGAAGAAGGCAACGTCATTTGCTTCCGGAATACGAGTTCGCCGCCCAGCCGCAGCTGTAGTGCATGGGCCGAGACCATTGAGTCGAAGAGGGAAATTAGTAATCCGGGGACGTGGGAAGCTCTGCCAAACGGGTTTCTCGTGGGCGTCCGGAGGGAAGTGTACGATGGCGGGTCAAGCAGCGGAGAGTCGTCTCCGACAACAACCGGTGGTCTCCGTCACAGGATGTATCAACGGTCAGAGAAGCGACCAAACAGGTCACAAGACAACTGGGAGGTCTGGGTAGCTTCAGAACTGGGGCGGGAGCAGATCTACGAAACAAGGCCCCTTCATGATGAGTACGAGATGGGCTCGCATCTCATCATCTCGGGACTGGGTCCCATCGTCAAGGTCGGCACGGCATCGGTGGCGGTTGCTTTCGGCAATATTATCAAACTTATCACGGTGGGACACCAGCACTTTGAGGATCTGGCCGAGAACGAGACGGGGGAGTCTCTGCACATTGGCAGCCGACGACGGAAACCGGCAGCTGTTACGCATGCCCGGATGAAAGTTCCGTCATGGATTTGAACTATAAGCGGGAGTAAACTTTGGAGGGGAGGTTTGGAATGGAAGGCAATATTTTCATCTTCGTTTTATATACCCATGATCGACAAAAGGGAGTTGGGATTTTCTGTTTTTTTTTCTTTGACATAGTTTCGAGATGATACCCCCCGTCATAGGAACGAGGGGGCTAGAATTATAAGATTCCCCATTTCAGCATATGCATATGATTGCCTGCGACGGCTTCTCTCCGTCAGCTTTCTGTTGGATAGATTAGTGTACGAAACCAAAGGATTATGATGTCTCAGTAGTATCTCTCAAAGCTGAAAGAGAGGTAGTGTTTGTAGGACGACTTGACAGTCTTGAATACCGAGGCATTTGAAGGACATACTATCACTAAACCACGGCTTTCATTGCTTCAAGTAGACTCTACTTCCATTTTCTTTCCCATTTTGTCATTCACCTCGCCTTGGACAAGCAGGTTTCGTAGTCCAATGCTATTCCCCAGGCACTGCTGCTCTCTGTGTGCGCTTCATGAGCTACTCTGCGCCCGAATTCCATCACATACGACCATACCCATTGGAAAACTCGGGATCCCGTCCGCTCTCCCATAGATAAGCCAATGAGGGCCGGATTAGTAGTTGGGTCGGTGACGACCAGCGAATACCTGGTGTTGTATGTTTTTGGTTGATGTTTTTGTCAATGGCGATGGTGGATATCGTGATGTTTTTTGTTTTTTTTTTTGGTGGTGTTGTGGGGTTGGGCGCGTGTGGGGTTGGTGGGGGTGCCGGCGTGGGGGTTGACATCGATTGTTAGTTTGGGGTAAGGGGGAACGGGAGAAGAGGAGCTGATGGTCATTGTGTTTTATCCGTGGCTGGATTCTGGATATTTTGAAGCAGGTTATGGTAAGGTCTGTCTTGGTTTTGCCATTTAGGAGAGAAATGTCCTGACTCATTTGACTTTGGCGTGTGTGAGTTGGGAAGGGGTGGTTACGTTTTTCTTACACGCAGCTGATTTGTCTGGGGCTTGCAACGTGGAAGCAAGTCGTTTTGACGTGACTCGCATCTGGGTGCTGCCTCTACAGATACATGATCGCCGTATTTCGAGTGTCCAACATACCCTCTGACAAATGGAATTGGGACCAGAACAGGCACGCGATCAACATCAGCAGAAGGGTCAGTAACGTGGACTGTCTGCCTACTATCTAACCTTCAGCTTTCTTGGCCTCGATGTACTACTGCTCGACTATTCGGGGAATCCTCGATCTCATGACGCCGAGGTAAAGGTGACCTTGGATGGTCATACTTGGTCGGACGAACGTACGTTTCTTACATGGCAGAGCTCATTCCTTTGAAATGGTGTCAGAAGGCAAGAGGCGGCAAGTTGTCCCTATGTAACGATGCCTAACATCTGGTGATTTCTTGTTTGTTTTGTCCAGGCATCGATCGAAATTGTTGAGGTGCTTGAAGTGACCGTACTGAGAGTCCTCATTCATCATGGAGATTTCCTTCAGCTTGGTGATATCCGGCTCTAAATACAAAAGCCACCCACTACGGGAGAGTAAAACAGTGTACATATAGTCAATTCTAGGCTACCGTGTATTTCAAAACGTGACAACCTTCGACGTCGGGAAGCAAATCTACTCCTGGATCGGGCTGCCTTGTGCCTCAATCAGTCAAGCAGTCGCTTACATTATGAATTGTAGGTCGCCTTCTAGACTAGGTCTTGGGCCTCCTTCAACTCCGCATCGAGATCTTGCTTCGTCACTCTACACTTACTTGTAAATTAATAAGAGCAAGAGCAGCTACCTTGGTTGGTAATACATCAAAAGGGACCTACAAACCATTCCAAAAAAACATCACCAACACTGACCCCAATAGCAAAAGAGTTCCACCCCCCCCCCCCCCCCGGCTGCTCAACTGGGGGCTACATCTCTGGCGCTCATGCTAGTATTCGAACTCGGGTACTTGCTAAGCCTGTCGTCGAGTAGGCTGGTTGGCGTATAAATTGATTGCTGATCATGAACCACCCCACCACCTAGCCAGTTTGAACTGACCCCCGACCTAGAGGGCACCTGGTGGCTGCTGACTGGAATGGGAGTGACGGGGCCTATATGGGCTTGTAAGTGGGCAGGTGTGCACGGGAAGGTACGAAGGAGGGTGAACACCCTTCTACTCCTTCCTCGTCGGACTTGAGGTACTTGAGGCAGGTAGGCTTTCATGATGCCACTGGGGAAGGCGCCATGGAGGCGGATCACATAAAGGTATACTGGTCGAGGTCAAAATACTAGGTGAAGGTAATCGACACACTGTTTCTGCCCATTTATCACCTGAGTGACCAAGCAGAGAATCTGATCCGGACAGTTGCGCACGCAGCACGCATCTGCAGATGTTTTGTCGCACAATACTGCCCATTTACGAACAGCGCTGACTTAAGAACAATCATATCTTAGATTCCTGACTCCCGGATTAGCTATCTAAATCAAAGCTACACGGTATGTACCAAGCTGAATGGAGCATCGACAACAACTTCACCCGCACTACTGCTGGCACCGACTGGCACACCGCTCTTCGCTAACTGATGATGCCAGCGCGCTGTTGATCAGATACCAAAGACCCACACTGAAACATTAGACCCCCATGAACGTCTTGACATCCGATTTAACCGTGTGTTGCCGTCTCTAGCTATATTATAGAGACGGCTATCTGAACAGAAGAAATATCGCAATGCTTTCTCTTTCTTACTCGAGGTAAAGGCGAGTATTGGGTCTAAGCTAGTGATTGAGAAATGCTCGGGCAAGGAAGGGTTCATGTTATTAGGAAAAGCTCTGATCTTTAACATCATTTATCGTTTCTTCTTCACCACCCCTCAGCATAGCTCTAGAAGCATTCAATCCCGAATACTCTAATGACGAAACAGAATCGTCTGATGCCTTTATAATATCGATGGATTTTCTATACTGACGTATACGTATGTCACAACGCCACAAACGACGTTGAGCTCGCCAGGAGTCTGAATGAGAAAGACTATGGAGTCCTGTTCGACAAGTGGTCGTATATCCTACTCGAGGTGGCTAACAAGTTCGTCCATAGCTTTATAAGGGATATTCCCCTAACCTCTTTATATGAGGAGGTTAGCGACCTGGGCGTCTTAATGAAGGAGAATCTCTTAAATATCAGTAACTAGATTAATTCTGAGTAGGAGGAGTGCGGTGTTTTCTAATTTGCTGTTAATAACCTTCTCTAGTAGCTCAGAGATGTTTACAAGAACTCTAATATTAATATAAATATTACCGTTTTTAAGGGACTCGAGTCCTAGCCCGATGCCCCCCCCTATTATCGAAGTTCCGGGCTTGCTAACTCTTAGGGTCGTTATTACTACTCGACGTAATACCGAGTCTTAGAGCTCTAATATCTATAGAGAATCCGATACTAAGCGTATTATATAGTTAATAATAAATGCCCCCGGTGAGTATAATTAGGACGTCGAGATGACGGACCCTGACCTACTATCCCCCTCCCCCGCCCAGAGCCAGGAGGGCAACGAAGACGTCGAGGATCTGCAGCTGGGACATTCCTCCCAAGTCCCCGGGATCGACGAGCTCACACGGGTTTTGACATGACCGGACAAGGTCAAGACTTGCCTCAAAAACTTGCCACCGCCATTGTTCGTAACAATTGATCTACTACCAGAACTACGCGTAGATGAAGGATCAGAAGAAGCGATAGGCACACAGAAACCACGACAGTGATTTCGAGTCACTAGAAAATTCAAACATCGTGGAGATCATACATTTTCGGCTTGTGATTATGAAGTTATCAAGTGGCGTTTTCCAGGGGGTGAATCCCGCACCCTCGCTTCTCCACATGTTGTCTCCGTCTACATCGTTTGATCCCGTTCATCCCCTGCGAAATACATATTCTGACCTCTACACCTTTTCACCTTTGATAACCCATAGCTGACGCCGGACACAATAACTCCAGATAACCCGAAATAAGGACCAGACTAGAAGCGGCTTGCTCTTCCTCTAAGTACTCCAAACATCCTCTACAAAATAATCATCACGTCGTTAGGGAACCAGCCAAACGACAACATCCTACCCGTCTCGGCCCACGTTATCGACCTACGACAACAGTCCCTTACCCCTTCAGCTCACTGATACCGCGGTCTCCGGCACGGGTACTGGTCAGGGAACCAAGTCAAGCACTCCTCACAGGCGTCGTCGAGGCCAATGGTCTGCCATACCTGCCGTTTGGCGCAGGGTTTCTGGATGAGGCTCGCGGGTTGACAGAAACGGGCGAACGTGAAGGAGAGGTGCTTGCACGTGAAGGCGTGAGCGTAGTATTGGCACATTATGAGGCTTGTAGTTGGGTGTAAGTCGTGGGTGGATGAGTATTGTTGTACTTCAGGGGATGTGTTTGGTTCTGTCTCTCTTTAGTGTGGTTGAGACTTGGCGCCCGGAGGAGTAGCTCTGCTAGTTGATGGATTCTCTTCGACTTGTACGACTTTGCGGTGGTTAGGGTATCTCGGTAACCGGTGATAGTTGCGGCTGAGATTGTCAAGAGTAGACTTGGAAACGAAGGTTGGGGCTGGCTCGTTGGTATCTTGACGGGCGTGTAAGAAATGAATGTGATTATATCGAATGAATACAAGATCCAAGGGATGGAAAGCACGTCTGGGAAAATCAGACTGAGATGGCATCTATTTGTAGCCCCTCGCCCCTTATCTTACAAACAACAACGTCAGATCAGTTTGCCTACGTCGGGCACCAAACCGCAAGCTACTGCGTGACCTCGATCCTACCAGACAACACCGTTTGAGAAGCTGTAGGAAGCCTCCTTTCCCCCTACCATACACGGAACTTCGAGCCGGAGGCGAGGTACGCCAAAATCACACCCAAAAAAGGAGGCAAAAAAACCCAAGCCGAAGCGTACCGAGATCTATGAAATCTCACAAAGCAGGGCACGCGGGTCGCGGGTCGTCCGGAAGCTGCAACATCCCGCTCCGGGAAGCAAACGGTGGTTACCGCGGCCAGGAACCAGGAACCAAACGACGCAGATTCTCAAACGGAATCTTCAGCTCTGATTCGAGAAGGAAGGAGGACACCAGAGGAGGGGGGGGGGACGCTTGCTATTCAGCTTCACATGTTGTCCGAAGTAACAGCTAGCAAGAGGGTGTGTCGCACTGTTCGATGAATGCATCCACGTTCCAAAATCTGTGCCCGACAACACGTCATGATGTCTCTCGCGCTGGTATTGAGGCAAGTCGACACGACCAAGGGGCTCCAGAATGGCTGGCTTATCTTCAACCTCACCCGGCATCGAGGCTGTGATCGTGACATATAGGGCTGCAGGCTCGTGATCTCAAAATCGCAGCGTAACGCAGTTCAGAAGCGAGTCCGACCCCCGAGTGAGATGACGAGGTCGTACAGTATGGTGGCGGAGCGCGCGACGTTGAGGCTGGCAGGAAGTACGACGGCCGCTCACGCCTGTGTTGACAACACACTACACAGAGAGGATGCGTTTGTACTGCGACCTCAATCACTACGTTGAGGACATGTACATAAGTTGGCAGGCCTTGTTACAAGGCCCGCTTGCACCTAGAGACTTTGACTACACCCACTTACACATAGCAGCGCTCGCCACCCCGGATGAGCTCGCATCATAGCTTGACTCTTGACAAGGCGTAGTGGAGGTGGACCCATCCAGAGACAAGAAATCGTAACTCCAAGATGACATAAGTGACATAGCCGCAAGGAACCGAAGGCCTATTCTTCACCGCCAGTTTTGATACTGCCTGTTGCTGCTGCTGCTCACTTCTGCCGTCGTCAGGCTGGGCTTCAGTATGCAAGCGGTATGTTGGGTTTCTTGTATTCTTGAAGATCGAACGCCGTTCAGTGAAGAATAGGTACCCAAGGTGGATTGTGAAGGAGGGGCGGCCGCATTGATTTTGGCCAAGCGTGAGGTTGGTAATAGGCCATAGGCTTGTCAGATTCAGGTTCATTCTTCTAGTCACTATATCAATCTCCGAGCTTCATCAGCACACGCGTGTTGGCGTGGCGTAACAGTGCGAGATTTTCCCTGGAGCGCTGAGATAGAATTGCCTTACGCAGAGTTGTCAGGCGCAGCGAGGCCATTGACTTATGCGCTGGCACCATTGAGGCCTCTGGGAGGCCACACATAAGGTCGGTGAATCGCCACTGAGAGTATTAGTAGGGGGATTCTTCACACTTTGGACTTTTGGTACAGCGAAAAAAGAGGTGGCTGGGATGCCGAGAGTTGAGTTGAGCGCAAAGGGGACGTTTTCCCTGCTTCGAGAAAGCGCGCCGCGTCCCGTTGGTCAGATCAGAAGGCGATCAAGAGACGTTGGACGCTAATCCATAGAAGGACTAGAACGACCCAGAGAGTAGCTTGAGGGGCCACTGCCAAACGCTGGTGGGTCCAGCGAGTAAGCGGTACGTATCCTTTTTGGTGGAAACACCGTGGAGCACAACTTCACGAGTTACTCCACGACGGACGACTTGTGCCATTTAACCCAGTCTTGCTCGTACAAGACGGCCTTGTGCAACCTGGATCGGTGAATACACCACGATGTCCGAGCAGCATTTGTTTCGGGACGTGGGCTGGGTAATCTGAAACCCCCAGACTGACAAGGGTAAACAGTCGCACGGGCTATTCATGGCTGTTCGAGGGCGACGGGAAGGATACGGGACTCGATAGTCGACATCCGGCCACGTTGTGCGCCTTTGGGCCCCTTGCTTTGCCTTTGCCTGCGTATCCGTATGGTGCATCAAAGATTCTGGGCACAGCCAGAAGCAGGCCTGCGTGGGGAGCATACAGGTGATATCGATTCGTCGGCAGCGGGCCACCAGAGCGCAATGCGCATTTGCGCGTGTCTGTGTGGACGCATGGCGAAGTCTCAGAGCGACACGAAAGACAGGTTCCGACAAGGGAGGAAAAGCAAGCAAACCAGCAATCTAGGCTGATTTGTGCGCATCAAGCGAGATGGCATCTCCCGTGTCTCAGACCGGCGTGATACGTTGATATGACGGGAAAAACGTGAGAAGATGGTCCAGAAGTGAGGATCGTGTCGACCCCAAGTTGGCCATCGTCGCAAGGACCGGGAGAGGCTCCGGTCTGACTCGAGGGCCGCATAAGACATTGTCTTCGTAAACTCGTAGGGATAGAGGGGTTCAGTCCGGCCAAGCAAGCTGCTGGTTAATGAAGGATACTCGAGAGTCGAAAGTCGAGACCCCGCGGACCCTTGGGATAATTAGTTGGTTAGTCGGCTTGTGTCGGAACGTGGTCCCGCGCGTCAGAAGGAAAGCGCGGCGCTATCGCGTCGTCGGCGTCAATTCAGATCAGAAAGCATCCTAGACCTAGGGTTCAGATGAACGGCGCTTGGTCCTGTAGCGCGATCATGTAGAAAGCTTGGATAGCGAGTGACTGGCGGGGAAGAAGCACGTCGCAATGCCTAGAGGAAGAACGGATACTCCGTACTCCGTACTCGTAGGATAAATCAACGATTGAGGTCATATCAGCTAGGCCGCCGTTTGTTCGGAGAGCGAACTGGAAGAGGAAGAATGCCGATGAGTGGAAGAGAGGGCCGGTGGAGGCGAGGCAAGCAGCGCAAAAGAACGACCAGGAAGGATTCCCGTCTTCGCTCCTACCTTGGTGGTGTGTCTGGCTCGTTCGGCTTGCCATGCTGGGGGCATGGGGCAAGTGGGCACCTCAAGTTCGCAATTCAATTCCCAGCGCCAGTTCCCATTTCACAGTTCAAAAGTCAAGCGGGTCGCAGGGATCCCATCTTAGCGCGGGCATCTTTTTACCCCCCGTGTCCCCGTCCAAGTTCGTGGGAGACTGTGCCTGAGCTTGGCTTACGGACGGGATACCTTGACTTGCACACTTGCAAGCCTTGTTCCCACGCTGTTTCCTGCCTCCGTCCAGCTCCAGCTGTCCAGCCCAAGCTCCAGCTCCAATTCCAGCTCCAGTCCATCGCCCTTTTCCCTTTCTCTTTCTTTCTCATCACTTGGTTGGAGAACCTTACCTATCCGTACGAATACTCAGCTTCTTCAGCCCCAGCCTACTAAGCAATTGAAAGCTGATGTCACTCGCGCCCAATCCAACACCCATCTTCGCGCTCGATTCTACCAGGGCTACCAGGGCTACCACATCAATCGCTCTCAAGCCTTAACTCACACGGTGCGCGTGTCTTCCGAGGGGTGGACAACTCATCTTGCAGCATCTTGCCCCCGTCATCCAACCTACAATACCCGACTTCATTCGCTGCCTCTCGCCTCTGTACGACGTCGCCCGCGGCCGTCATTGCTGCTCCTACTTCTCATCTCAACCTCATAACCACCCGACCCCGGGTGTCCAAAGACTCCATACTCAGGCACCCTATCGCGCAACCTCCATCGCCTGTGCGGTACCTGTTGGGCGACTTCGTCATCCATCTGTATCAGTACCCCGGGAATTGCCTCCATTCCCAATCGGCCTCGGTTCTCCCAGTTCTACACTACCTTACGGCCAGACCGCGCAGCAGCTCTCGCAAAGGCCCACACTCGTTCATGCACAATACCACCGCATGCCCCAGTCCTCTGCGCCTTTGTCTGCAAGCTCTCCTTTAGGGCACATATAACCTGCAGCTACCTACATTACCTTACATTACATTACATCGCCCGAACCCGTCTCAAAACTTACCTGCATCGCTGCTGTTCTTCGACTCATCCTCAACCATTGTCGAGATGCCTTCATAGCCCGACATCCGACACACTACCTCGTCACACCCTAATTCCACGACTACGACTGCTGCCAGCCGTCTCATCTCGTCTGGTTCCATTTGGCCTGCTCGCACCTTGACTTGCCAGACGTTTGGCACCTAGTCCCGCCCCCGCAGCCACGCCGACGCTCACTTCCACGCCCGCTCTTCACCGCCTCCTACGCCGGCATTATCCTTCGACACTCGTTTATTCTCTCAGGGATCGTCCTCGTAGCCCATCGGGGAGCTCTATCTACGCCTGTCCTCAAAAGGTTTCTCGACGACAATCCACCCAAGCATTGAGCGTTGTCGTCATGCTATTTGCGAAAAGATCACTCAATCACTCATCTTCTCACTTGAGCCTCATCCCGCTCACACTTGAATAATTGATTTTTGCGCCTAGCAAGTTGCCAATTGGCCGAACGATCGAACTCCCTCACTGAGTACTTACTAGTAATGTATTATACCTGTGAGTATTCCTTTCTTCCAGATTACACTCAATGCGATCGGTGCCTGTAGTCGCTGACAACCGGCATAACTCAGTTTCATTATCAGGCCAAAGATAAAAAACATAATCGGCTTGTTCTGCTCCC